CTAGTACGTTGTATATAGGTAACATAATATATAAATACGCTTCGTTATGGCTTATTTAGTTTACGAAAACTGATATCTTTGAATGATGTATACACTTCTTCCTCTTCCTTTAAATGTTTTGGCCCTATCGAAGTAATCGATGTTTTTGTCAATGTCAAGTTGAGGAACACATGCGTTTTTACCTTTTATTTTTTTCAATCCTCTAATATTACAGACAATCAAATCGACCCTTTCACTAAATTAAACTAGAGTTGCCATTATACAGTTATCATTGTTACCATTACGCAATCAATGTTAATCAATTATGAATAGCGCCACCTATTCATAACCAATGGTACAATTTACAATACAATGTCATCTAGTGGCAGTAGGTGAAGTTATAATGACTAGCTACAGTTTTAAAGAATGTTATATTTTCTGATTCCTGTGTAATACCTGATTGTGCTGGTTGTATACTTTTCTTATTTCAATGCTTTTTTTATATTTAACGCACATACTCATAGCTCAGCGCTAGGGAAACCCTGTGTCGTGGGTGCCATGGACACACACACATAGACAACCACAAATTACATAAAAACTAGGCCATCATACATATATTTTTCCCGGCCCTATAATAAACTTATTACCTTTTATGATTTTTTTTAAAATTAAAACCTTAATAACCTATTTTTTGTGCTACTTAAGCAATTTTTTAATTAGTACTGCTATCTGTAAGTTAAAGTATATTTAGTTATTGGAAATAATTTGCTATATGCTATAAAATACGTAAGTCTTGGTGCTCATATATGAGGCCATATTATGTTCGTAAAATATTAGATAGATAGATAGATAGATAGATAGATAAAAGCTTTATTCACCACCATGACATCAGATACATGATATAGGCATTAACTTATATGTATATAACAATAATGATATTCTTATCTACTAATATTACACTTGGAAGTCATGGCAGTGAAAAAGGCGCTGGCTCAGCATAAATGACGCGGCTGCCCGCGACGCTGGTATTCTGCCAGGACCCTATAGGATAGAGACGCCACTCGCAATCCAACAAAAATCTGATTTAATTTTTAAATTATTAATTTTCAATCTTCTTCCTCCCAACCTCCACACATAATACACTATTTGCAGTCCTGAAACGAGGTACAGCCAAGAGCATAACAAGCCCGGCACCTTGGACCTTGGACCGTTCCTATCGCAAGCGGCACAGAGTTGAAATTAAATCTTAAATTTTAAATGTCAAGCATGACGCGCTCCCGACCCTGTACGTGGACAAACAAGAGACAATCGCAAATACCCTAGCCACTCATATCCCCAATTTTTTGCAAATTTAACAGATGCTCCCGCAGCTTTAGCTTAAACGTTTTTTTTGAGACACTGTTACGGATAGGAGGAGGAATATTGTTCCAACAACTAGTGGCTAAGTAACGGAAGCTCCCTCTAAATGCAGCGGTACCATGCCGGGGGGTTGCAAGCAGAAATAGCCTTGTCGACCTTGACCTAAAACGAGAGTTTGCCGTGGATGACCAAGTGAGTTTCTCGTACAAATAGTCAGGTACGTGAGACTGAACAACATCAAACAACAGCCCAGCCAAATACAATTTAAGGCGTCCACCTATTGCCAGCATGTTCGACTTATTCAGGAAGGGTGTCACGTGGCTCCGAGGTGGTATTAAGAAGCAGAATCGTGCACATGAATTTTGCACTCGTTGCAGTAGTCTGTGCGTTCTTGCCAACAGACACGGACCAAAGGCAGTGAGACAGTAATTAAGTTTAGAAAGTATAAGAGATTCGCATAAGTGAACCCGCAAGTCCAGACTTAACAAGTTACGAATGTTATATATGACCTTTAATCTATAAAGACAATTCTGTACAACTTTGGCTACGTGCCGCTCAAAGCGCAGACGATTGTCCATAGTGACACCCAAATTTTGAACCTCCGACACTAACTCAATAGATCCATTCAACACTTTTACCTGGGGTGAACGTGACTCTATATCCTGAATCTGTTTTCTGGATCCCATTATCATGAATTTGGACTTAGTAGGGTTCAGCACAAGAGAGTTATTACCTGACCATGCGGCAAGACGATTCAAATCATAATTGATCTTAGCAATGGCCTCAGCAGTATCCTTTGGAAAGAAAGAAAAGTACAACTGTAAGTCGTCAGCATAAAGATGATACCGGCAGTAACTAAAACAGTTAACAATGTCAGATGTATACAGAATGAACAAGAGAGGGCCCAAAATAGATCCCTGGGGTACTCCCCTGTCCACCCGTGCACAGGTTGACCTCAAACAGCTACCGTCCGGTCTAGGCAACTTTACTTGTTGTGTGCGAGCAGAAAGATAGCTTCGGAACCATTCCCGGGCAGTACACTTAAAACCATAGTAGCTTAATTTTGATAGCAGTAAGTTGATATTAATTGAGTCAAAAGCCCTAGAATAGTCCAGAAGAACAAGAACTGTACCTCTACCAGAATCCTGGGCCGCGAGCACTTCATCCATAACATCGAGAAGTGCCGTATTAGTGCTATGTCCCTTTCTGAAACCAGATTGGTACTTGGGAAGTATATTGTTAGACTCCAGGTAACTATATAATTGTAAACTCACCACCTTCTCTAATATTTTAGAAAGATATGGCAAAATGCTTATTGGTCTCAAATCCTTTACATCTTGTGGGTTATTGTTTTTGGGAATTGGACATACCAATGCTGATTTCCAGACTGATGGAAATTTGGAGGTTCGTATGGAGGTATTAATAATATCCGCAATAATTTTAATTGTGTGTGGTAGCGTTAACAGAACCATGTCAGCGGTAATCTCATCACATCCCTCAGCATTAGATTTAATCCCAACCATAATTTTGGATATCATGTCTTCATCAACAATAGTTAGGTCAAAGTTAGAGCCACAGAACCTGTGTGTATCATAAAAGGAAAGTACTTCATTGCTAGTGGAATTGTCACCAGGGACATTTAGAAAATGCTCATTAATCGCGTCAGGATTATCAAAGTGAACAGGCAAATCCGAACTCCCCTTGAAATCTGGAAGAATATCGCGTTTAAGGTACGTCCAAAGTTTTTTTGGATTTTTGGAGTTGTTGTTAATATTTCGGGCAAAATAGGCTTTTTCCTCGCAATTCAATGCAACACTAACAAGGTTTTTTAACATCTTATACTGTTTTTTGTCGGAATCTTGGTTAGAAGCCTTGAATTTACTGTGTGCCGCGTTACGTAATCTTATCATGTATTTAACATTACTAGTCAACCAAGGTTTGTGTCTATCCCTAACCGTGACTTGTCTCCTAGGTGCATATATATCAAAGAGTGTAATCAAAAACAGGTTGAACCACATTACCTTTTCATCCACAGACTCTAGATCCAATATGAAATTCCAGTCCAATTTTAAAACATTTTCATAGAATTTAGACTTATCGATATCTTTCAAGGACCTACGGAAAAAAGTTCTGGGTTTGCTAACTGTCTTTTTTATTTTTAATTCCCCAAAAACTAAAGCGTGGCCACCGAGTTCCTTGACATGTTCAACCACAGTACTTGCAGGTGGAGTGTCCGAGCAAAACAGATCAATTAGAGTAGAGCTATGGCTAGTGAAATGTGTAGGCATCACCACGTAATTACTAATGTTCATGTAGTCAAGAAAAAATATTAATTGCTTTGCTTTATGGTCGCTACTATCCAAAAGATTCACATTGAAATCTCCAACTAGCACAAGCTGATCATACTGCGAGAAAGATGTAATGGTGTCGGTAAGTGCGTCAACAAACTCATCAATATTACACCATGGAGGTCTATACGCAGTTCCAACTATTATGTGTAAGGAATTCAGAGTCAACCTGATCCACATTTGTTCAATGCGATCACCTGTAGGACATACACAGTTACGAATATTTAAACTACGTCTAACATAGAATCCCACACCACCTCCGCGCTGTCGTCGACCAAGTTTGCGAGGAGAGTGTAGAAAACGGAAACCAGGCATCTTAGGAGCACAGCATTCCTGGCCACTTTTAAGCCATGTCTCATTTATTGCGACAATATCAGGGTCATGTCGCTCAACTGATAGGAGAAATTCATTGTGTTTTGTATTCAAAGAACCCGCGTTAAAGAGACCAATTTTTAAATTCTTTTTTTTAATCATTTGAAAAGATATATATTTTGCTATGGGATTTGTACAAATGTAATTGTCGTAATAATTGATATTGCTCGCTAGCAGTTGCCCGCACATATAGCCCCACACTATGTGTTTGTGGTGCAGGTGTTGAACCTGCTCCCAACAGTCGTAGTTGTGTAAC